AAATGTTATATAAATATATAATAACATTATAAGGTACTTCCTTCCTCCTTCCAACATGCCTTTGTGGTGTAACAGTAGCACACTCAGCGCTATTCGAATGGTCGAGGTTCGATTCCGGTGAGGGCATTGCTCATTTTTTCACGTCATCTCCCGCTTCAAAATAACTAATGAATCTACAACATTGACAATTAAATTGTAAACATATACTGAAATTCTGTCGACAAATTTGTTTATAAAACTATTTAAGCAAGGTTTGTTCGTACTGGAAAGCAAGCTGTTAAAAGGTGTTGTGAAGCGAAGTATATGAGATGCGTATTTAAGAAAGTAGTAAAGAAGAATTTTTAGAATATTTATTGTTGAAATTGAGGGTAAAGAAATTCGATAAGTATTAAAAGATTATTTCCTTACATTTTATAATAACTCAGTTACGATTTTTAAATCATATTAAAAAAAAAACTACCTTTCCTTTTCCCTTTCAGAAATATTCATAGAAAGTTAAATATTGGGTCAGTCCATAAATTCGTGCGCATTTTTTGATAAATTTTTAAATAATATAAAAAAACACAATTTAACATTTTAATCAATTCTATATTTTCCTCCATTATCTACAATGTCTCGCCATCTTACGGGCAGCTCTTTTATGCCATTGCTGTAGAAAGACTGGTTTTGATGCAAAAAACTTGAAAGTTCATTGTGTACATCCTGTTTAGAATTTAATTTTTTTTCCCCAGTAAAAAAAATTTGTAAGGCACGAAATCAGAGAAAATCACCCGGGGCAATATCTGGGGTGGTAAACAAGATGTGGCAAAAGCTCCCAATTAAATTCATTAATTTTTTGCAGCATTGTTTTTGAGCCGTATGCGGTCTAGCGTTATGATGAAACAACACTATCTTGATATTCACCCATCGTGGGCGTTTTTTGATCCATTCTGAGTTTAGACGGCAAAGTTGTTCACTATAAACTTCTGAATGAATCGTTTGATTTGATTCCAACATTTCAAAACGTCCTGAAATGGGGTTCATCATTAATGCTGCTTTTTCCAACTTTAAATTTTTTAAACCATTTCTGGGCAGTCCTTACACTAATAGTGTGTTCACCCTGTACACTATTAATTTTTATCGCTGCAAACCTTGCAGATTCTCCACACGAAAATGAAAAAATGTAGCACGGTACATTTGTATTGATTATCTATATTCATCTTCTATGGGTACTAAAATGCGTTCGATATTTACGAAAGTTGGTGATGAACTGAATAATATGTTAGTCAAACGATGACAAGTTTCAACAGGTTCAAAATTGTATTGGTTTAGTAAAAGCGTCATAGTGAATTCTACGCATATTCTTAATGCGCACGAACTTATGAACTGACCCTATACATGGAAATCAGCAGCAATATTTAACTTATTAGAGTATTAAAATAAAAAATGCTGTAATTTGAAATGAACTGAAAAGATCATTAATTATAAAATGACTCTAATTCTTTATTTAAAAGATACCACAGAAGCTAAATAATCATCTCATATTTGAGAAAGCATTTCAAGAAGAAGCTCTGTAAATAGAAAAGAAATAATAAGTAATTTTAATATAAATAATACAATAAACTTTGATCTAAATTTTTGTCATCGTTGGACAAATAAAATTGAATTACCTTAAAATTTATTTCTGATGTGACTAACGAAAACTCGTGAAAATATTTCATTCAAATTAAACTGTTGTGAGCAAATTGCTTTGTGTAAAGTATAGCATTTACTTCCTTTTTTTTTACAATGAAATTTTGTTTAAAAATGTATTCTTTTCACATGCTTAGGACTCTGAAATATTGTCGAAATAGAAAAATGTACATTTACACGGATATTTACGACGTAATTAGCAAATTTTCACCTCCGATTATGTCAAAGCACATTGATCCTTAATGGCAAGCCAGTGAATGTTTTGGTCGGTGTCCGCCGATAACATCGCGGCAAAAACATCGCGGACGAAAACGTCGCGGAGAAAACAACGCAAGGCGAAAACATCGTGCTACAAAACATCGTGGGTGAAAACATCGCAAAGAGACAACATCGCAGTTCTAAAACATCGCGGTACAAAATATCGTCGTCGAAAATAAAGCGGTTCAAAAACTTCGCAGTTTAAAAACATCGTCGTCGAAAATATCGTGGTAAAAAAATAAAGTATCTACAAATCATCGCATGACGATAACATCGCAAAAATACTTTTTTCAGGTTTTAATAATTGTAAATGGATATTCCCATAATGATTTGCGAGCGCAAGATGTAAAGAAGGATAATTTTTACTTTCACACTTTTTTATTAACTAATAAATTTTTGCTGAAAAAGTAAGAAGGAAACTTAGGCATAGAAAATTAAATGCAACTTATAGATTATACTTTTCATGAAAAATTACCAGTAAAAACTTTATAAAAATCATTTATTAATGGTCTTTGTTAGTTAACTATGTCGGTTTAAAATTCTATTAAGTGCTATAAGTTGCATTAATTTTCTATGCTTAAATTTCCTTATTTTCTCAGCAAAAATTTATTGATTAATAAAAAATATGAAAGTAAAAATTATCCTTCTTTCCATCTTGCGCTCACAAATCATTACGGAAAATATCCATTTACAATTATTAAAACCTGAAAAAAAGTATGTCTGCGATGTTATCGTCATGCGATGATTTATAGATACTTTATTTTTTACCACGATATTTTCGACGACAATGTTCTTAAACTGCGAAGTTTTTGAACCGCTTTATTTTCGACGACGATGTTTTGTACCGCGATGTTTTAGAACTGCGATGTTTTCTTTTTGCGATGTTTTCTCCCACGATGTTTTGTAGCACGACGTTTTCGCCTTGCGTTGTTTTCTCTGCGGCGTTTTCGTCTGCGATGTTTTTGCCGCGATGTTTTCGCTGTAACCTTTACCATATCGTATTTAAAACATCGGCTAGACTTAGCGTAGTTAAAACATCGACTAGAGAGAATGCTAAAGCCAGAATATAAATTTTAAGCAGAATTGGCGAAAATACTAAACTGAAAACAACGTAACAACGTACAACGTAACGTTGTACACTTTTAATTGGAGCTCACTACGGTCCTAATTCTATTTCCTGTAACGATAAACACTGCTGAACCGTCCTATACACCAGGTTTAGCGTCACATTTAATTTATAAGAAGCTGATTACATGCTTGAAAAAGCGATTAATATTCTAAATCAGTTTTACTCAACCGTTTGGACTTAATTAAAGCGGTTGCCAAAATTGTGGAAACTTTTGGGAATTTTTATGTTTTTGAACTTTGTATGCTTATGGAAAATGTTACGTTTCGCAAATTCACAAAATGCAAACTTATATATATCATTTTAAAGATAATTTATTACTGAATTCAATACAAAACACAAAACTCAATTATTTTCAATACGAAAAAAGTTACGAGTTTATGTACTTTAATATAAATAAGAAACACAGTTATGAAGTGGTTTGTAATGTCTAGCTTTCCTGGCCAGTCACTGTTCTTGTTCTGAGAACCAATCAAATGTTAGTAACTGCCAGTAGAAGCTGACATCATGTTTACACTTGAAACAATTCATTATTTTGCTTTGTTCTGTAGAAGGAGGACCTTTTTCTTCTACATTGAAATTACAAGTAGGAATTTTTGTAAAAATATTTAATATTTAGTCAAGAAGCAATATCAAATAAAAGAGAAGATTGGACACCTAGAAAGAGATGTAATATTATTGTGTTACGAGAAAGTGGTCTTTCCTATGCTGAAATTGCAAAACAGGTGGGTGGTTCAGTGACTACATCTGGAGTCCGAAAGTTTTGTTTACGATATCAGGAGATAAATTCAATAAAAAACAAAGAAGGAAAAGGCCGAAAAAGGTGCACCACATCTATTGATGAGAGAAGAATAAAAAGACTATGTCTCTAAGATAGAAAAATGTCATCAGCGGCCATCAGAAGTGATCTGAATGATACTGGTGTTTCTGTCAGTTCAAGAACAATCAGGAGAAGATTAACAGATGTTGGACTGAGAGGTAGAATTCCACGAAAAAACCCTTATCTTAATTTTCAGCAACGAAAAAAAAAAAAAAGACTACAGTGGGCAAAGGAACACATTAATTGGACAGATGATCAGTGGTCACAAGTTATATGGAGTGATGAAACTAAGATATCGTTATTCGGTAGTGATGGGCGAAAATATGTAAGACGTAAAATAGGAGAAGAGCTACATCCTGACTGCATTCAAGCAACTGTGAAGAACCCAGTTAGTGTTATGATTTGGTCATGCATGTCAGCAGATGGTATTGGTCGCCTTCATGTCATCGATGGGACACTGAATGCCAGAAAATACATTGACACTATTCTAGAACCAAAACTTCTACCTTCCATCAGAGATCTCTTTCACAACAATGCTTCGCTTATTTTTCAGCAGGATTCTGCTCCTTGCCACACGGCCAAAATATCGAAAGAGTGGTTTCGCACAAAGAGCATTAAATTGTTGTCATGGTCAGGAAACAGTCCTGACCTCCATCCTATCGAAAATTTGTGGCACCGTTTGAAACCTCTTGTCCGAATGAGGCTCCCATCAAATAAAAAGGAACTAATTGAGGCTATAATTGTTTCCTGGCATCATGAAATAACGAAAGAAGAGCTTAAAACTCTTGTCAGCTCAATGAAACGTCGATGTGAAGCTGTAATCAAAAATAAAGTGTACCCTACAAAGTACTGATAACTCACTGCAATCATACTATCTAATGCATATCGATAACTATAATCATTTAACTTTTTTGTATTGCAAATAATTGAATTTTGTATTGAATTCAGTAATAAATTCTCTTTAAAATGATATATACAAGTTTGCATTTTGTGAAACGTAACGTTTTCTATAAGCATACAAAGTTCAAAAACATAAAAATTTCCAAAAGTGTCCACAATTTTGTCCACCACTATATATAAATATCAATACCATAGCCTTTTATGAGGATTCATAACATTTATTACCTTTGCACGACAAGTTCAATGTTATTTCCAGCCTTGATGATGGTGTCTTGTGCTTCTTTGTGTTTCATGCTGTCTGTGCTTTTCCCCGTGATTTTCAAAATGGCGTCACCTGTCATCAAGCCGGCTTGTTCTGCTAGGCTGCCAGGATTTACCTATATGGAAAAAAAGAGAGATTATAAAAGTGATATATGTTGTTTTGTTTAAATAACGTGTAAATAACTCTCCCAAAAACACTAAAAGGATACCACACGTTTTAAAACTATTTATCATTTTGTTAAAATATTCCTGTAAGATTAAAATGTAATTTTTAATATTAAAGATTAATACGAATCACCAAATGGCAACCACACACACATACAAAAAAAAAAAAAAAAGAACTCAGATGATTCCTCAGCTTCCAGTGTCACGTTTATTGATGGAGAAAGGAATTTGATACGTCTATAGCATAGACGTTTCGCTTTTGAGTCTTGATTTTTTATGAGATTACAGTCTTGACTTTTGGTTAATGACAGAATTTTATTCTAGGAGAGAAGAGCACAAATTTCCACTCATTCACATGTTTAATGTACCAAACGATTTGGCAAATTTCCTGTTCTTCGGTTGCCAGTTTAGGGAACTGTTCTTCGATTTTTTCCTCATTTCATGGATACGTATTTCAGTATATGTTGTAATGAAACTGAAACATATGCCTTAAGACTGATAACAATGCCTAGACTTTCTTTCGAAAGCTAATACTGCAATAATTATTTCTGGAAGTAACAGATGCAAGTATTCTTCAGTTTTTAAAAGATATTTTCACCTGCGAAACAGTGGCTGTTTCTCTTCTCGTTGGAATAAGAGGAAAATATGTCCTTTTAAGCATGCCGTAATCAGTGTTTTGGCATTAGGAAATTGGGCACAATGTCGAAGACATTAGAGCTCATTTCTATGTTCTTCAAACCATCATATCGCCAGTTTTGAGACCTAAACTTATGCATGGCTATCCTGGTACATGGCATGTTCTTCGATACAGAAAATTTTAACAACTGGTTGGACTTTCTGCACCTTTAGTCCTTGACAGCGATGCAGTCATCAAAAACAATGAGTGTTTCTAAATACTTCTATAATAGTGAGGCAAAAACCGAGAACATATCGTTCCACTTTATTCATCTTTAAGTTTCACTTTATGAAAGACACATTTGGGGGTCTTTTGCACCTGAAGTAGCTATCCACATAAGAATTTTCTCAGAAGTGCAAAAAAACAGTGCTGGCCTCATCGCTGATTGTGAATATAAGCCTCGTGAAACTCCCAACAGACAATTTTACATAATAGCAATGGGTGAACTCCGAGACTGCTAAACTCTGCCTAATTTGATTAGTTATTATTTCATTTATTTTGAGGCTTAAAATTATTTGTAATAAATTAAAACCCATTTCAGATAATCTTCACCGCCGACACTAATTCTCACTGGATGAAGTTCTTATCCCACAGCCATGTAGGGTCGGAGATGCAATCCTAACGAGATAGTTAGGTAGTTGTTAGGGGATGTCGCAGGAAAACCAATCGACAGTCATCCGTAGAGGATTTTGAGGATGGAAAATATGAATACATCGTGATCGCAAACTGAGATTTGAAGACCATAAGTCACAACGTTCCTGATAATAAAGCTGCCCAAAGTTTCGTAACTTCGGCACCACATGGAATCTCGAACGTTTTGAAATATGCCGGGCATCCGTCGGACGTTCGCAGTAGCCACGAAAATGCTCCATTACAAAACGCTCAGTGCATTTCAAAACTTCCGAGATTCCATGATTTACGCCACGTTACGGAATTTTGGTGACTTTCATCATCAAGAAAATCGGGACTTATTTTTATAGTCTTTAAGTGTCAATCTGCGATCACGATGAATTCATATTTTCCATTCTAACACCTGTGCAGACGGTGGGGGGGGGAATCCTCCCCACCGTCTGCACAGTTAGGACTGCACTTCCAACCCTGGTATTGCTATGTATTGTATACTTATTGTTCATTCTCCAACCCTGGTATTCTTCCAACCCTGGTATTGTATACTTATTGTTCATTCTGTATTTTCATACTTTCAACTGAAATTAACTGCGTTCTCTTTTCCGACAGCTTTTAAGACTTTTTAAAATAATCTGCACATAAAATTCAGATTTGAAAAAAAGGAAAAACAGCTTTAAAATAAACAAAAATGAGTTTCAAAAATTTTTTAAAACTGAGCTTTATCGAATACTCAGTTATATATTAGTTGGTACTTAGAATAAGTTGGCGACGAGTGGCGAAAATTTACGAGAGCTGCAAAAGATGCTCTCATTTTTCACTTTTACTTCAAGAGATTCTTCAGACTTTTCAATACTAACAAGACCATATACAGGCGTACTAAATAACGGTGCTGTTTATCCTAGTTATTGGACATTAAGTAAGAAGAAATTATTGCTGTAGTCTAGCAGAAAGAATGTGCTGACGTTAACAAAAATGATTCGGATAGCAAAAAAAAAAAAAAAAAAAAAAAAAAAAAAAAAAAAAAATGCGAGCTCATTCTGTAAGTTTTCAGTACATTTGAAAATTGCAATAGCATAGTACGAGCGGCATTCGAATTGTATTTCTAATAGCTTCCATAAAAAAGTACGAAAGATTTTTCTTTGAAGCAAACATAATCTTCTATAGTTGAAAATAAATTCAACTTGCTTTATAAAATAAGTTTTCTTAACCTTAATTACAGAAGTACTGTATGCGTTTATTTTTTCCCTACTTACATAAAAGAATATTTTACATGAAATGAAAAAAATAATAGCATAAAAAGACATAAACAATATATTTGTAACAAATATGTATAGTTTCTTTAAAGCATTTTAACTATACAAAAATAACCAAGAATGTAATATTTTTCTAATATAATGAATTTCAAAATATAGCAGTAATGATTTTGCATTCAAAAATTTATTTTAGACTTCTAATAAGTACCTTCATGCGTATTTAATTATCAGAATGATTAAATTAACTCAATAAACTTAATCCAAGTTAGTATGGATAATCGATGCTTTACTATATTTACTTGAAAACTTGGATCAAGTTCCAAGTAAATATACGGATTATATATTAATAACATAGTTTTAATTATTCTACATTATGGAATTTGCTAATCAGCAAATACGTATCTTCTCCTATTAGAATTAATGTTATATAATAGATATGATTCAGCTCCCGATGTTAAACAGTCACTTTAATTCGAATTGTTTTGGTTTGGTTTATTTAATTATGGCAAAACACACTAGAGCTATCTGCCTAAGGGAAAAGATGCCTTCGTGGAGGACTTTCTAAGAGAAACTGGCTCGTATATACGTTACACATGGGGAAAAGCACGAAAACGCCCATGCAGCCAGCCCGTTCGCGGGATTCGAACCTCAGACCGAACTACCAGTGTTTAGTCACTTTACCGCTCGGCCGCTGGTGGGTCCTCATCGGTAATTCAAATTGAAAACGAATGTGAAATGTAATTCATTTTAAAAGCAATAAGTGCAAGGGCATGTTCGGCAAATAAGGAGTGTGTGTTAAATGAATGCTGTATCATTAAGAGAATTTTTTTCAATTACAATTAAAGAAAACAAATCTCAATTAAAAAAACAGTCGTTTTATTTAGAATGATATTACATTATTCTAATAAAATATACATGTGATTTTTTATGCTTTTTTTTTTTTTTTTTTTTTTTTTTTTTTTTGTTCAGAGCGTTAACGACTTTACTTTGAAATAAAAAAAAATATTAAAACATTTTTTTCGGTTAATTTTAAAATGTTGTTAAAAATTTCAAACGTATGTTTCTTTACAAATAACTTTAAAAATACACAGGAAAACCTTAGTCAACATATTACAAAGCACATTTTCCAAATTATGCGAAATGAAATTTTCTAGTATAAAATAATACACTATTAACAACTAAAACTGAAGAACAGAATAATAAAAAATTAAATAATTTAAATAATTCCATTTCCTTCCCTTTCATTCTATTACCCTTTACCCTTTCATCACCTTCTAAACATTAATTTTAAGCCTTTCCCTAAAAACGTATACGGGTATTATTTTTAATTATTTATTAACTTTCAGCAGAGAATTTTCACGTTTTTTATTATCTTTGTTTTAATATTCAAAAGCTACGTATTCTAAACATAAAAAGGCATGAAAATGGTAAGTAAAAGTATTTTAAGTATTATCTTTGTCCTCTTAAATTGATAATATTACGTGCATTCTAGATAAAAACTCATAAAAGTTATAAAGGAAATTCAAAACTGAGAACAGCATTAAAGAAAACACTTTTCAATTTCAACAACTTTTCTGCTCCATTTTTATAACGCTTTATTAAGCATTAAAAATGAGATAAAAACATTACAAATAAAATGTCAGAAAGAATATCAGCATTCCTGCGTTAAACTTTTTTTCCCCATAGGGAGTTAACCGAGAAGGGCTAATTAATTTAATTTTAGCATTTTGTGGCGTTTCACTTTTCAAATTGTTGCCACCAAATATTATTGCTCTGTATTATATTTAAAGAAATTAAATAAGGAAGAATCTGACTAAATGTATGTTTATTTCTCGCACTGTGATAAAATAACGGTACCTAAACCCATCCAATTTTGAAAAACGTACTCTCCACCCCAATATGGGCATCTGGAAGCCCAAATTTGGAATTTATTTTATTATCTATTTTATATTTTGTAAAGAATTTTTTGAGTTTTTGTTTAAGAAACTCAACAATTTCAAAGTGAGCAATGGCAACACTGTATGAAAAAAAAATAAATTTATCTCCATCAAGCGAGATTGTGTATCGTAAAGTCTAAAGATATGCTCTTTTTTAATTATTTTGCGATATTGCTGTTGAATTGAATGTTACGATTTAAATGCGAAGAACATGATATTTAATAAATAAAGGTAACACACAAAATGTTAAAAAAAAACTCCCCTTTGGACGTAATTTAAAATCTGAAACCTTTCGGATTTTTTATATATAAGAATTTGGTGCAGTTTCATGTTTATCATGGCAAATTCCCTTTATATATATATACATAAAAAAAGGACTTTTTTTTTTACATTGCTTAACTAACATATTTTAAAAAAATAGTTTTCATAAAAACGATAATGTTATGTGTTTTTGGCGCTTGGTTAGTAAGAA